GAATTTTAGAAGTACAAGGGACTTGAATCATCTAGTTTGATTCATTCTGTAAATAATAAAATAAATATTTTAAATATTAAATGTTTATATTGATAATATATATTTATATAATAAAATATATAATGATACATAACTATATGCATATTTATAATATATAAAATATAACATAAATATAGATTATTAAATATGAAATATGAAAAGAATTAAATTATTTGAAAAATAAAATCATTTTTAAAAGCCTCCAAATGGGCTAAAATTAGTCTGTTTGTGATTATACAGACAGCAAGTAGCAGCAGCCACTGTGGCTAACTATGAATTTACCATTCAGTACTCTTTTTTAAAAATTTAATAGTATTTTATTTTTTCCAATTACATGTAAAGACAGTTTTCAATATTCATTTTTGAAAATTTTAAGTTTCAACTTTTCTCCCTCCCGTCCTTCTCCCTAAGATGGCAAGTAACTGATACAGGTTATACATGTGCAATCATGTAAAACGTATTTCCACATTAGTCATGTTATGAAAGAAGAAACAGAACAAAAGGAAAAAAACACGAAAAAAAAAGGGAAAATAGTATGCTTTGATCTGCATTCAGACTCTATTAGTCCTTTCTCTGGATGTGGATAGTATTTTCCATCATGAGTCTTTTGGAATAGTCTTGGATCATTGTATTGTTGAGAAGAGCTAAGTCTATCATAATTCATCATCGCACAATGTTACTGTTCATTCAGTGTTCTTTTTATAATATGTATCATATTTTAGCATTTCTATTCTGTTCACAACTGTCCCTTATGATCAAATAGATAGAAAAAGTCAGTGAGCTTTAGAAATATCACTTGGACACTTGGGGGCATAGCAGAGACCAAGTGTATGTTCCTCCAGGAGAATGGAAGCATCTTGAAGTTAAAGCTTGTTTTTGTTTTTATTCTCAGTGCTTAGCTCAATACCTGGCATAGGATAAGATCTTAATAAGTGTTAATGAATTGAATTAGAATCAGAAAGATCTGGGTTCAAGTCTTGACCCTGCCATATACTTGTTGTGTGACAATGGGCAAATCACTTCCCCTTTTAGTTCACCAGGCAAGTTATCTAAGACATTAAGTTATAGATTTATGGTGGGAGAATTTTTTACATCAGGAGTTTCCCACACCAGTGAGGATCAATATTACCACCCCTTCCCCCCAAATACAACACACAAAAAATCAACACATCTGTGTTGAATGTGTGTGAAGTAAAATCACTGAATTTGTAAACAGAAGGTCTGAGCTTGAGTCTAGATAACAGTCATATCTTAAGAACATATTTACAACCCAATTTTTCTGCAGGCAAGAAGGATCTCAGTGAATTTGATGGTGGTGGTGGGGTGGGGAAGAGGAGGTCTTGAGTCAGGGGTGTGCTATGAGCATTTACACCTTGGAAATTGGCAAAATGCTACAAATCAGAGTTTGATTGGTTTGTTGATTGTGCAGAGCCAGGGGTGGGGAACCTTTGGCCCTCTAGGTCCTCAAGTGTGGCCCTTTGACTGAATCCAAACTTCTGAAGTTCTGAGCCACATGTGGCCTCGAGGTCACAGGTTCCCCACCCCTGGTCTAGACTTAAGAAGGTGATGGAGAAGATTTTAATATTATAGATTACATTTAAAAGTGTGCCTTGCATACATTTTTCTTTTCAGAGAACCAGTTGTTAAACATTTACCAGCACACCTCTGGTTCTGCTGCTGAACAGACTAGATAATGGGAATGGAATTGTATAGTACAGGGAAGCTGTGAGGAAAGTTGGTATTCTGACTCCTTGGCCGAAGGGGACAGCTGGAATTGAGTTTAAAATGGACCAGAATGGGTGAATATTTGTTGAAGAGCAACATTTTTCCTCATTTGCAAAATGCAAATGTTGGCCTACAAAGTTCTAAATTTTCTTCCTGCTCTTAGTCCAGGGAGTCATAACCAATGGCTTTGATAACATCAAAATTGTGTGTTATGTGTTAGGGCCCAGCTATGCTATGGTATGGAGAATGATCTCGAAATTCTAAGGAATATCCACCTAGAGGAAACAGCCTCATTCCATATGGTAGATAATAGTAGTAGAACTTCAAACTCTATTTTAAAAGGATTCTACGGGAAGTGCTATCTTGTGTATAAACTACATTTCAAAGAAAGAAAGACTTTATTATTTATCTTTTAGGGAAGATCAGAAGGTGAATAAAGATACAGCTTATTTTGAGAATGATATTCCTGTTCTTTTCCACAGAAGATGTTTGTTGAGGCAGAATATTTATATTTTCTTAATCCTGAGACATCACCTTGAAGAGGATTTTAAGAAGGAATTTTAGGAGCTTATGCGCATGTGTGTGTACTCTGTGTATTCCTGTGTGAGTTTGGTTACTTGTCAGAATGAATATTGCTTTAAGGGTCTAGTGTGAACAACAAAAGACAAATGATGTTATAATGCCTAAGCTTATCTGGATTAATGTGGACTACACCAACCTAAAGCTTTGTGAGGCCCTGTGCAAAGCCAGATGTTTGGGGCCTCAACCAGGCCTCTATAATCCACACACCTGGGGGTGGGGAGAAATCTGGGAAGGAAAAGAGGGAAGTTTCATAGTGAAGGGTAAGCTTGGGGGTCTTGTAGGCTTCTCTCAGGGGAAAGCAGCTGGTTCTCTTTTCTTCAAACTCTGAAAATAGGCTCCTGGAAAGAAAGATACGTAAGACACTTGTGGTCTGAACATCAGTGGCTACATTTAGGAGATTCTTGTAACAAAATGGTAGATAGTTTATGGAAATACACCATTTTTTCTTCCAAATTCTGCCTTGAGTAGAGCCATAGGTTTTGTGGACCTTGCCACCTGGTGGATTACTGGAAAAACTACAGGGTCTTTAGAAAGATGTTCACGAGGAGACAAAGCAGGACTTCCTGATTTTTAACTCATTTACTCTCTCCCTGGTGCTCTTTTAGAGAAGGTTTGGAGGAAATTAAACAAAATCTTTGAGTCTCCTTTAGGTGGTATTCATTATGGCTTGCTATAATGATCACCACTAGGTTTACTTATGGCAAACTAAATGCAAGGGAAAGAAAGAAGAATCATGGTTTTCTGACATTGTAAGGGATTTGACTAAAATAATGACAGTACTAGGTAACTTGCTACATTTTAATTGGAGAATCATAAAATATTAGAGCTGTAAGTGACTGATGTCAACTAGTTTTAATTTGGGGGGGTCAAATTAGCTTAAAATAATTGCTACAAAAAAAGGTTAAAATAACTTGGCATCTTAAAAAAAAATAAAGCTCCTTCAACAAAACAAAACAACCCAACCACTACAGAACTTTTAAAATTGACAAGGAAGAATAATTCAAAAGACTAATTCAAAGACTGAAAGAGGGGTGTCTATATCTGAAAAATCCTCCTTTCAGTGATTTGCTTCCAAGGAATTTGTGGCATCATCATGTTATATGCTGGCCATAGATTGACAGTATGGTAGAATGACTAAATTAAAGACATATTAATTTCTTAATTGAAATGCAAAGCCCTATGTATGACCCAAGTGATTAGGGCTAGGTCACCTCAGAGTTTATCTCTACCTAGTTTACTGTGGAGGAAGAGTTGGAAATTATTTAATTATTTGAGTGGGATAGACAGTCAATTACATAACTCAACACCTCCCCCTCCCCCCAGTAGATTGCATTCTGGCCTGGATCATACAGTTTTGACTCTCTGGAGAGTCTAAATTAACCAGGTAATTGTTAGCTTTCCTTTTTTGGCTTTGTTCGGCTGTTACTAGTCCCCCACATCTGCTGCCCAAATTATGAAGCCCATTCTGTCCTCCTTGACAAATAATAGATGCTTTTTTTTTTCTTACTCCTTTTCTAGAAACTCTTTTCTACTTCAGTAAGATTGAGGAAGAGAACCTCGTTTGAACTTCTTGCTATTTCTGTGAAGATTAGTGACTATCATTTGAAGAAAAAAAAAGCAGAAGCAGGGTCACACCCTTTAAATAGTAACTTTCCTCTAGTGTCTTGCTTCACTCTTTAGTCATTCTGTTGTCAAAGAGATTTGAAAAACGGAACATATGATTTTATTTCAGCACTTTAAAAATTAGAGATAGAAAAAAAATCTCTTGGGTGATTAGATCTATTTCTCTGTCAGGGCAGAATGGTTTTATAGCCTAAAGTCAGTAAATAAAATTATATGTATCATAATAAAGTTGGGAAGACAGAATTACCACTATTACATTTTCATTTCTCAAATCAAATTGTTCACAAAATTTTAAAATAGATTCTTAACATGTAGTGTTGAAATAGAGGTATTCTGGTTGTGATTGTTTTTATTATGACCAGTTTCCTTATTGTACATCTTTATCACCAAAGACTCGATGATGCTTTATAAGAACAAAGTTCCCTATCCTCTGGAACTCAAAACTTTGTATAAATGTGATATAGCTATGCCTTCAGGTAAAATAACATTCAGAAAGTAAAAGGCTTAATTAAACAAATACTAAAAAACCCTGTACCTTCTGGAGGAGCAAATGTTTGAAAAAATTATTTGTGTACAATTCTACAAAATGCCATCCAATAGTGAAAGATTTTAAATGAATTTAAGTAGTGGGTGTTTTAACTTCAGAGAATCTGATAGCAAAAGATACAGTTTAGCTTGTTTCTTAATGGGATTCCTGCAACCTATGTTTATTTTGCTAACATTTGTATATATGTGTTCTATTCTTCAATATATGTGAAGTATTTGATTGTACATAAATCAATATGTATGTATATACGTACATACATATATACACACTAGGAAAATGGCACAACAGAAGCTAAAATAATGGTTATGTGATTTGTGAGAAGATATGAAATACTTTGTATTTGTCAAGCCTATATGTGAGCCAAGGTCTATGGAGTATTTATCTTTGCTTGCTTACTAGAACAGCAATATATCTCATTTTCATAAAGGTCCCCTGGGGCAATAGTCATGCAATGTTACTTCAGCCTTCATGCAGGCAATATAATACAGAACACTCCATCTCGAATAAATAGGCAACACTGGATAGTCACAATTTTCATTCCTGTTAGTTTGACAAGGTTTCTTCAGGTAAGAGATCAAAACATTCTTTTATTATTACTTCTTAGATTAGATTTCACTTTAATGGAATAAAGAGATTATTTCAGCTGTATGGGTGGGGAGTGGGAAGATTCTTTTCTTCTTCAGGCATCTAGCATCTTCAAGACCTAGCTATTCCATTTAGAACAAAATTTATTTTCAAGCTACATGTTAATATTTATATATTATAAATCTAACTAGAAGATATAAGATAAACTCTCTGCCCACGATTTCTGCTTGATTTCAATGTTATATTGATCTAAAACTCTCCATTCCGTTTTACTCACATGATAGTCAGGAAACACAGAATTATAATGATGTGTGATGAGAAAATCTGTTTGTTGGGTGGAGAGAGGTGGGAGGCAGAGGAGGAGGGGAAAAGAGAAGTGAAAGCCTTCACCCAAAAAATTGCATGTAATGCTAGGAGAGATTTTTATTTTTTTGGTCTACAAAAATGAAAGAAAAAATCCATAATGTCCTATATCTCTGGAGTTTGCAAAAGACCTTTAGAATCATGTTTACTTTCCAGGCTTCATATTTATATCCAAGCTTTTAAAATGGAAATCAGATTTAAAATTCTGTAAGAGGATAAAAGTAAAGGCTGTTACAAAGATATGCTTATGCAAAGCATGAAACCTTTATTCTGCTACAAAGTAATGCAGCCATAATTGGGATGCATATTCTACAGAATAAAAAAAATTACAAATAGTTATGAATATGTAGATAAAGTAAATATTTAGTGAAGAATAATATACATCATTTTCTATTCTCAGCATAAAAGATTTTTCACAAAAATATTTATCTATTTATTGCTTTTCAAACTCTAAATGGGAATTGGAAAGAAAAAAATACTTAGCCTGGCATAATTTGCTACTATTTACTGGTTTAAAAAAGGGTAACTGAATTTTAAGGTATAACATTTTTACACAAATTACAATAATCCCAGGATGTAAAAGGGACAGAATTTTTCTTGCTAAGTATTATTTATTTTCTAAGAGCTAAGAGATTTTGTTTGCTGTTATGTGGCCTGTTAATTGTCATGATAACCATGTTCTTTCTTCAAAGTAAGGATTTTTATGTTCAAAGGTTAAAAAAAAAAGAATCGGAAGGGGGACGTGTGCAAATGACTAAGAAAGCCTGTGTTTTTCACGTTGGAAAATGCAACTGCTCCAAGGAAAATGAAGAGTGGATTTCATGTGTAGTCATCTGAAATGATAGGTCTTGCCTTTTTAAAAGAATGCGGCATTTCAGCTTTCTTATTTCACTGTGTTCTGACACATGACTAACATCTACCTAATCTCTTTAGGCATTTAAAAAAAACTTGTAGTGTTGGAAATTTCTAAACAGAATAAAAACGATGAATTGTAACACATTCAGGACAAACTGTATGAGCAGGAGAGCTCTACCAATACTTTAGAAAGTACTTTGCTTAGCAGAGAAGCTGGACTAGTTACCTTTCCTAAAAGCCGGAATCCTCTGCAACTTCCATAAAAGCGGGAATTAAGCAAACAGAACCGCTCTGTTTGTGAAATTAAGCCTTGAACTAAGGACTCAAGCTCCTCTCACCTTCCTCTCCACTTTTTTGGTGGCGAGGAGGGGAATCTTTCCCTCTCGAAACAAGAAGAAACTTTGAGAACATTGGAAACTATACTAAATCTATTCAGGATCTAAATCCCTGCCTCTCCTTCCCGGGGAGCTCTTAACTAGCCTATGCCTGGAAATCACTCGGTTATCGCCCCTTCCTATTTTACACAACTTCATACACCTCTTCCAGAAGGACTTTAGATTTACCTGGAAAAGAAAGGCACGTTGTTGTCTTTCGCTGCCCTTGAATTGTAAACAAGGAGCGTGAGTGGGTGAAGTATTTAAAATGACAAATAGTGAAAAGCATAGTGAATTATTTAGGAGGAATTATTCCAGTGTTTGTTGAACTAAATAGATTTCAGATGAAAGACATTGCCTACGGGGTCTGAAAGTGTTCTGAGGAGAAAAGAGGAAACTCTTCCAATGAAATTTTATTCGTGGAATCATTGGACCACAGATTTAGAGCAGGAGTTGTCGGGGCAGGGGGAGGTGGGGGAGGTGAAGAGTCAGATCCCCACATTTAACAAATGAGGAAACTGAGACCCAGTCAACTCAGAGACTCTTTTTCATATTTTCTTTTGCCATCTGTTTTCGTAGTCTTATCTCTGTTTGCAGATGGTCTGAATGAACCACACAAGTTAGAATGGGGTTCTAGGTTTTGGTGGTGAAGTTCTAGATGGTACCCTAGAGTAATAGCTAGAGGACTGGACTGGACCAGAAGGCAAGAGAAGCTGGTTCTAACTCTGGATGGACCACATAGCTTTGTATAACATTGGCCTTAACCTATCAGGGCCTCAGCTTCCTCAATAGTGAAATGAAGGAGGTGGACTAAAGGATCTTTTTGAGGTAACTACTGTATCTGTAATATAGTACTCACTGTCCAACTTGGAGAAGTCCCAAGGTTCTGGGGATTTAGATTTATTCCTTAAGAATCAGTCTCAGACCTTATTCTAGGTGGGAATGGTGTGAACAGGCCATGGTCATGGTGGTGGAGGGTAGTGAGGGATTTTTAAAAAGGCAGAAGAAAGAAAAGTTTTTCATCTTTTATAAGGGAGGGATGAGCAAGGCAGAGATATATTTTCATATAGAGGGTGTCTCCAAAAGCTTAAAACTGCAGTATGACTTTTGGGACACTGTAGATGGAAAAAAGGTGATTTTTAAAAGGATTACAAATTTTAAAAATGTAATTAAAAAACGACACGTTTTATAAGTTAAGTATAATGCTATTCTTGTGCTTGGCGTTTAGGCCAAACCTGGCTTGAATTGATGTTGTCCTTGAATGAATGAATGAATGAATGAATGAATGAATGAATGAATGCAGGTGTGGGTGGAGGAGGCATTTAAGCCCTACTAGGTGTAAAGTCATGTTCTGTGGTAACAAACAAATGTTAGGTCGTCCCTGCTCTCCAGGAGCTCACATTCTAATAGGGGAGGCAACCTTACATAAACATTGGTGTTTTGAAGGAAAAGCCTCCTAAAAGGGCCGAAGCTTTCCTTCCTTACACAGGAAGTGTCTTTGTCTCTCTTTTTCTCTCTATCTCTTTGTACCTGTCTCTCTCGACTGCTTGAGGCAGGTGGGGGAGAGAGGGAGGCAGGGGGAGGCTGCCTTCCTGGCCTCTCCCAGGGGCAGGTCCGTAGAAGGACTGAAAGTCCCAGTCCAAGAAAGTCTCCCTACTCACACCTTCTCCTCCAGTCCCAGCCTCTCTGTCACTCTGGCCCTGCAGCCTATTAAGTCTCCAATAAATAACAGAAATTACCATTTAATTTGACTTACAGCCTCCTGCTGGGGGGTCTGGAGAGATAATGTAGGGAGATTTGAGGGTATGAAACTCTTTTTCGGAGTTTTTCAGTACCTGGGGCGGATACCATACTGTGCTGGCATTGCAGGTAGGGTGAGGACAACGATGGAATATTGGGAATGATGTCTGGAGAGAACTGGTAAAAAAGAGAAGTGAGAATCCATTCTCTTAATTTTCATTCCTCTGCCCAACCCAGGAGCATAAATCACTGACAGTTCTGTGGCCATCAAGTCTTTAAAATTGTTTTCCTTTTGGTCCCAATATCTGACTTCTTCCTTCTGGGGAGCTCCAGGTGTGGCAATTCCTGCCATTGTAGAAGGGCAACGATTCTGTTAACTGGTGGTTTTAGAGAATAGTCTGGAGGGCACTGACATAGCCAAGTTTGTGTTAGAGTCTGAATCTGGAATCTGGTAGACCTAAGTTGGAGTTCTGCTCCAGATGCTTGCTAGTGGTATGACTGTGGGCAAGTCACTTACTCAATTACCTCTTCCAGATGTGATCTGTGATCCTACGAACTTTTTCTTCCAGCCTCTGAGCCCAGTGATCTATTCTCGTGAATCATTGTCAGCTCAGACAACCCCTGATCCTCTTCTCAAAATTGGTAGGATTCTGGGCTCTACACTGGGACAGAAGGAGTTAACAGTTCAACATCACCCGGAACCAAGTGCCTGGCCCTGGACTGTTTACCAAACTGCCTCTCTAAAACACTTTGGTCCAGCCCAGGACCTTCAAATAGGCCCTGGACATGGTCTGGGATCGGCAAAGGCAACTCAACAAACTCTTAGAAAGCACCAGCTATGTGTGTGTTTGATACTAGTGGGTTAATTATGTTTATAGAATCGTAAAACATTAGAGTTGGGAGAGACCTAAGTTATGACCTAGCCAGGTGTAGTGCTGAGCTTAGAGTCAGGAAGACCAGGATTCAAATCCATCTCCAACAATTTACTAGCATTATGACCATGGGCACCTCACCAGAGTTTCCTCTCATGTAAAATGAGGCTATTACCTCTAGTAATGACCACCCAGATTTGATTATCAAATGAGATCATCTGAGTAAAGTACTTAAAAGGAGCAATTGTTATTAAATACCTGTTGTTGATAGTTGAAATGATAAAACAAAACAAAACAGAAGCTTGAGGAGGAAGAAAGGACTTATCTAAGGTCAAAAGACAACAGGTTAGTGGCAGAACCAGGCCAAGAATGTAGAGCTCGCTGCTCCTCTGCTCTGCACTCTTTGCAATATACCAAGCTCTCAGTCTGTAATGGCCTGGAAATCTATGGCCTTCAAGGAAGGGAAGATTTCTTCTGGGTTGCTATCTCAGAGTGTTTAATGTCAATAAAGATCTTTGAATGTTTTTTGCTCCTTTCCCTTTCCGCCACTCCACCCCCACCTCTTTGAGAAAAGTTAGCACTGATTGCCTGTTAAGCCGGTTGCTCACATTCTTGGTGTTTTGTTTGAAGTCTCCCTACCTCGTGAATTTAGATAAGAGAAATCTCAGGCAATCAGATCCAGATATCAGGGTGCCAGACACCAGATAACCTTTCAGCTGCCTCAGTCTTGGCTCTGTGCTGGCCCTTGGCCCCAGAGGAAACGAAATCTCCCGCAGA